TGAACCGAAAACTTATCCAGCATATGTTTTACGCAGCGGATGCCCTTCCAGCTGCAACCCAACACTGGGAACACCTGTATACTTTCATTCACACACATACACTACGGACAATTTAGCTTATTCAATTCATCTATAGCGCATGTCTTTGGACTGTGGGGGAAACCAGAGCACCCAAGGAAACTCATGCCAACACGTGAAGAACATGCCAACTCCTCACAGAAATGCCAACTAGCCCAGCCAGGGCTCGAACTATCAACCTTCTTGCTGTGAGGCGATCGTGCAACCCACTGCGCCACTGCACTGCCTAAATGTAAAATAAATCTGGCAAATATTTATTAAATAAATCATTAAATTTAAAAACTTTAGTAAAGGATATAGATAGAATAAGCCCCACAGAACAGAATATGTTAAAGAAAAATGGGAAAAGGAAAGTAATCTCATTATTAATTAATTAATTAATCTCGTAATTTCAGATGATGAATAGTTGGACAAGTGCAGATTTACATCAAATAATAATTTAAAAAAAATGCTAACTCACACATGTGAAGATATTTTGGATGGAGATGTCTAATAGGATTTTTTATCACGCCAAAACAAATAGCATATGCCACAGGAAAGGATCCAAAGTGCTGGAGACAATGTGGGTCTCAGGAACCTAATCACTGGCACATTTTTTGGTAATGTCCAGTAATAAAACAATTTTGGGTAGAAGTACATAATAGGGTTTAGCGATGTTGACCGATTTGGCATAGTACGATGTCTAATGTGAAACATTGCGATGGAAGATGGCATTATTTATCAGCCCAACTCTAGTATATAATTATAATAATAATAATAATAATAATAATAATAATAATAATAATAATAATAATAATAATAATAATAATAATAATGTCCTCATCCACCACCAGCGTGCAGCATGAGTATGAGACAAAGGCATCCATATTGCGCCAGACCACACACTTTATGCATCAGCTGATTGATGGTGAAGAAAACAGAGTGATGAAGCCAATGATATGGGAATAGGTTAAACAATAGGCCGGGGTTAAACCCCTACTCTTTTTCGTAAGACATCCTGGAATTTTTTAACAACCACAGAGAGTCAGGATCTCAGTTTAACGTTTCATCTGAAAGATGGCCCTCACGGAGCAGTACAGAGTGCTCATGACTATACTGGGGCGTTTGGACCCACACAGACCACATGTTGGGTGGGCCCTGCTGGTCACACTAACACCACTTCCAGCAGCAACCCAGCTTACCCATGTGGTCTCCCATCCAGGGACTGACCGGAAGCAGCCCTGCTTAGCTTCAGTGGGAGACCATGTAAGAGTCGCAGAGAGCTAGCTGCTGACATGGAGTAATAGAAAAAATGCTTACTTGATATTTTAATAATTGTAGCCAAAAAAGCAATTACAAGACACTGGTTGATTACACTCTTCCTTCGACACTAAATTAATGTATTTAGAAATATCTGGTACAAGTGGACTAAATACATTAGGTTGCTCCAGAAATATAAAAATATTACTACCTAATTTCCATCCACAGAACAAACATTTTTCAATTTATGACCCATCGCCCTCGCCCTCTTAATCCTCTCTTTAGATTAGGAATTTACAGCTGATAATAACTCAACTAAAGTTGAGCCAATAAATAAAGATTCAACCCTCTCTGACCTATCTATATTTAGACATTGATATTGATATTGGTTACAGTTTTATAATTACTGTTTTTACATATATTTTATTTTACGAAACGTTTGTTTTGTATTGTGTTGTTAATTTATAGTTTTGTAAGAAAGAAAAATGTTTAGCAATGGCAAATGTGCACTCTCTTAAGTGAAATCATTGTACTGTATATATTGCTACTATAAACAGACATTTTAGAAAATAAATAAATAAATGAAGCACAAATAAATGAATACTGTAAAACAATAGCCTTGCTTTACCCCTTGCTCTTACAAAATAAAATATAAGAGCCCCCTACTGGAGATCTAGCGTGACGCAAGGCAAGCAAATCAGAGACTGAGTGCTTTCTAATGTAAAGCCTGGCAGCTTCTCCCTCATGACAGGCCTTACACTCTCCCTCGTCTCGCTACCTTTCCACCAAACGTCGCTCCTCTGTTCCCACACATTTTCATCTTCCCAAAATAACTCCCATTTACTCACATAACAGTTTCCAGAACATTTTCGCTCCGGTACATAACAGTCCCTAAAGAAACACTCAAGCGGCCAAACTCTCTCTTTCTCTTTCTCTCTCCCACTGCCTGTTGTCCTCCATCCTCCCCCTGTAGCAGAAAACTCTCCTCGGAGGCTGACGGGGGGACTGAAAGCTCTCTGGGACTGTCAGAGTGTTTCATTATTCAAACAATGCTGGAAAGCGGAGCCAATGATCACTTTGGTGGAGCTGATTTGTCACAGTGACTAGAGGAGGGAGAGAGACTTCAGTGCGCACAGGTAAACTCAACAACTTTATCACACTCTACTCTCAGGGAATTACCAGCCAAAACTCTATTAAAACTGATTAGGAAGTTGGATGCGTAGCGTAGTGGGTATTGGACATGGTAGGGCATATTATGCCAAGCAGTTAACACACATTTTAACACTATGTGATGCAAAACATTGGACTGATGAATACACAAGCAATAGTAAACAGAGCTGTAAGAAGGTGGACCTTTGTCTTAGTGAATAGCGCTGCGGTGCTTAACAACATCACAGTTCTACTTCATGATTATTAAAGTTAATAATGAAAAATAAATTTAATCTACACCCTGAGCTGACTGGAAATCAGCTTTTTCTGTGCAGTTCATCAGCCACAATTAATGGTCCCTGGTACAGTACAGTTCAATATGCTTTTATGGCTGTTTCCACTGTCAAAAGGTACCAAAAAGCAAACCGTACCATACGTTTTTTTTGGGAATCCTTTGCAAAGAGCTGAGCTAGACACACAGCTGAATGCTATTGGTTTAAAGAGAAATGTCACTAATGAAACCAAAGAAACCACCATTTTTAAATACACAGCCGAGACATTACATTGTATTACTATATTCATATAATTCCGAGCAATGGTCAACCCGAGCTCAAACAAACCTTGTCATTGTCTTGATGAACAGCCATCAAGGCAAGAAAAACTAAATGTGCCGTGTCCTGTTTTTGTTTTACAAGGTCGTCTAAAAGAGCAGTATCACTTTCTCCAGAGAGCTTGCGACCACTTGCATGTGCGTCTATATTTTAAATAATGAACTTCTTGAGCTGATGATAATAACATGTGTGTGATTATTGAAGTGCTTCTTACGTCCGATCCTTTCAGAAACGAAAAAACGAGAGAGTGAAGTGCGAAAAAACGAGAAGCCGGAAAAAACAAAGGAGCAAATGATTCTTTCAGCAACCTCAAACATGAACAAACTGCCATGTTTAACTATTATCATCACCTTTTGTACTATTATGAACTCAGAATGTCGTAATTACTTTCTAACAAGAGGTTACATGTGTTACAGCTTTACTTTGAGAGAGATTTCCTTGAACGAGAATGACGTCGGCTGAAACTTTTTCATAAACCACGCCCACCAATAGGGCATCATTGGTACCCAGATGTACTGTATTAGTCAGTTGAAACGGGCCATAAGACTGTGCCATAGTTATTGTCCAGTATAATTTCATAGTTATGATTTTAACAATTAGTGAGGTAACAAGCATGCTTATCACATTCAAAAGCATTCGCTGTGTGATGAGGCTTATTATAATATAGTACGAAAGACCACACAAATTAAATTATTAACAAAATACAACATTTCAACATACAGTAAGTTATTTTTAATATTATTAGAAGTTATTATTTATAAAATATTGTTAGTTCCAAAAACTATTTTATGCTGAAGTATTATCTGTATTCTTCACTGTTCAGCAGTGTTCAGTGCACTGACGACTTTCACATCAGACGTGGAAAGTGCTACGCTTTGAAACCCATTCATTTCAATGGCTTGTGCTGTACAAGGGTTATTTGTTACTGTGCTAATCAAAGACAAGGCAGTGGAACACACTTGTCTGCAAGCCATGTGCACATTTAAAATAGCTTAATATTTAATTATGTGTTTATTATATGTACAAGTATTCTTATCTGTGCATTAACCACAAATGAGTCCCCTCAAATAGCGCACTGACAGGACATTTCTATACAGTATACTTGTTCTTGCAATGCTGGTAAAATAACACCCCTCGACTTTTGTTTATTTCATTGGATTCTCTTTTTTAAAATCAGTATAATTTAAGTTATTGAGTTAAATTTAAAGTCTTACAAAGTAACTTTATAACATTTATTAAATAATAAATAGTTAAATCAAAGCATTTACAAATTCAGTGCATCCAGAAATGGTTTTGGCTATGGCCTGGAATTGTGTGTGTGTATGTTTTGACAATCACCACTTTGTAATTCAAGAGGCTGACAGGTGAACAATAGCATCACAATAAACAGAAGTGATAGGTGAACAGCAATAATGAGCCTTTTGAAGTACTTCACACTGCAGTAATCAGACAAAGGAGAGTATTTTCTGGGAGATGCGCTCTATGACATCACACTTGTCCAAATGCGGCCTTCACCAAGCTGATTCACTTACATAAAAGCAAAACAAGCAGAGACAGAGCAGCACTTCTGAGTAGCCAACAGAGCATATGGCTGAAGACACCCTTGCTCTTGGGGATCTTTAGTGTCTTAAGTTGTTCTTGTAACTAAACCCATACTAAATTTACTCACACAGACTTATAAAGGACAAGAGCATCCAATGTTCTTCTTTGTCAATTCGTAAGTGTATGATTATTAAATGACACATTTGATACTCTTTTTTTTTAACAGAACCAAAACATAAAATAAAATAAAAAATACAGAGCATTAGAAGACAACATATAAGTCCTACAGTAACCAATGCAACAATGGAAAAATATACTTCAGTGCATAAGTGTTGTTTTAAGCTCAATGAAATCAGGGTATGAGGAAGTCAGGTCACTTACTGAATTTGATGGCATGGGTACATTAGTCTCAATGTAAGTTTCCGTCTTGGGCTCCACAGCAAGCTCTGCTTCCAGTATCTTCTCCACGGGCATGTCTTCATTGGCGCTGCTGGTCGACTCCACTTCGTTCTCACTGCGTTCCTTGGCTCGCTGGCGCTCCTCCTGGACGGCTGTATGTAATAATACTAGTCACGGTCACTACAGTTACTCAAAGTCAACACACACATCATACATTCTTACCACCAAATATGATGCATCCCAAATATATATATATATATATATATATATATATATATATATATATATATATATATTTTTTTTTTTTTTTTTAGCATGTAACTCTCTTCATAAATGATAAAAGTTATTGATACAAATTCAAATACAAAGAGTATTTGTAGGTGAAACAAAAAGAAAGATTGAAACTATATGGGAAAGTATGATCAATGAAAAATATAATTGGCTTATATAAACTGCAAAAAAAATATAGTTTCTCTGAATTTATGGTTTATAGTAATGTGATTTTTGTTTAAAATTTGTATTTTGTAAACAATGTTTCTTCCCAATTTAAATAAAATTGCTGTCATTCAGAATGCTTTGTATTTCATTAAAATAGGTAAAAAGTGCAACAGTTTATATGTCTATATTAATTTTTAGACAACATATGTTTTACCAATGTTCCTAATTTTCAGAGGAGATAAGAATCAATTCAGCGAAGGAAAAAATGCTGTACATGACACAATATTTATATTTGAAATTGGGAAGAAAATGTTATCATATCAATAAAACAAATATTACAGTAACACTGTACTTACTGTAAACATATTTAGTAAATCTATGCATTTTCAAGTGGTCTCTTTGTTTTTCATATATTTTTATATGGGGAGAAGATTATTATGTGAAAACTGTTACCATATTTTTGTTTTTGAAGGATATTTATTTTGCTTATGTTATATACGAAGATACATTCAGAAAGAAAACATATTAGCATAATTTAATATTTAATACATAATGCAATAACATAATCTATTAAAGAGTGGTACCTCGCTATAATGCAGTTCACCCTTCGCGGTCTTGCATTTTCGCTGATTTTTTGGGGGTTCCAGGAGAAATAACAAAACGGGAGGGTGGCTGGACATGGGACTGAAATACGATAGACTCCCAGCAAAAACTGGACTGTTGACAGGTATGGAATAAAGTTTGTAGTGAGGGGTTTTACAGCCTTAAAACATCTATAATAATTGATTTCACCTATTGTGGACTATTTTAAAAACGTAACTCACACGGATTTTAAAGCTGAATTTTCATCATCATTCCAGTCTTCAGTGTTACGATTGTTACTGCTGATTCACTGTCAATTGTAATATGCTGATTTGGTGTTCAAGAAACATTTTTGATGTTTTCATATTTTCATGAAAACCAATCTATTTATAAGCAGCATATAAAAAAAATTATATTATTTCCTTTTTTGAACTTTTTAAAGAAAGAAATGACACATTTTTTTTATATTCTTTTCATTAAGAACACATTAAAATATTCAAAAAAGTGATTATTCAAATTCAGCAAAACAGTTTCTTTTAAATGAACACCATTATTATGAACTTTCTATTCAACAAAAAATTTCGAGAAGGAGAAGAAAAAAAAGTTTTCAACATTGTTGTTAATAAATACAACAATGATTTATCATTAAATTAACAATTTAACAGATAATTATTGATCACGTTAGAGTGGCAACTTAGTTTATAAGACAGATTTCAAAAGGCTCATTTCAGACTGACGGTTAGAGTATTCACGCTAATAATACAGTGTTCAGTTACAGTATGTTTAAAAAATGTATTCAGTCAGTTTAAATGTAAATAACATTTCAGCTTTTTATTGCTTATATCAATTAAATATTCCCTTGAAGATCAGAGGAAACTTCTTTTGACTATCATAGGAGGTTTTAGATACTTGAGAGGAAGAGCGTATTATAACATTCTCACGAAATATTACAAAGAAAAGCATTATTATTGTTTCCTTAAATATAAGGTGCACTGATGAACATCACGCGCTTTAAAACAAGATCATGTTGACTTGATTAACTAAGCTGATTTAATTTCCAACTTTGTTGCACGACAGAATGTGATGCTGTAACATCTTTCTCATCTCTGCGGGTTCCTTCAACGGATTTGAACAGATCAGACATTTGATCGGCTCAGAGAAACAGGAAGTGGTTAGTGTTGAACAGTCACTCAGTCTCACTGCGGCCAAAGTGCCATTAACCACAATCCAGGCCCCTGCGGTTAAGAGTGTGTATGTGCCGAGCGCAGTTCATCCAAAAGACTCCAAACCCGCTCCCTATTCACAGTACTCTCAAACACACAAACGCTAAATCTTCTCCTTTCCCGGACCCCTCAATGTTTTTCTCAGCGGCGAATCACAGAGGTACTGTTGTGGTGGAGGGGTTCAGAAACAGGGGGATTCTTGCTTTACGGAAAGCGGCGTCTGGAGGTCAGCCCAAGGGTAAAATACTTCTCCAGGAGTCAGAGAGAGGTGAGAGGGGCTGAAATCACGTTAGCTTTATTTCCCCTGGAGAGGACGAAAGCATAAATTCATTTAATCCTGTTTTTCTGCAGATTCGCTCAGCTCTTTTTTGGGGGGTGAGCGTGGCCCAGCTCTCTTGTGCCTCGGGGTACGGCGCGAGCTTATGGGATACAGAAACAGGCGAACGCAAGCAAATGATCATATCCTTGAAAGAAGCCGCGATGATATAAATAAAGGAGACAAAAGGTTGAGCTGAGGTCATAGACAGTGGGTGCGAGAGCAAGATGTCGTGTGCGTAAGATCGCAGGGCTTTCTTTTTTTTCATCTTTCACATAAAACAAGACCTAGAAAGATCCATTTTGGCAAATGAGGACTGGAAGTTGGCTATGCAATCTACAGCTACAAATATTTAATTTATATGGCCAAACTTGACTGACTGCTTGGAGTAACTCTGACCTGAGTTCAGCTTAGTGTTGTTTTAAACATCTTTATAAAAGTTTCAGCTTGGACACATTTCATAGATTCATTTTATGACAGTGTATGCTATATAAATAACATCATATATGAAAAAGGCTGGGTTAGCACGGTGGCGCAGTGGGTAGCACAATCGCATCACAGCAAAAAGGTTGCTGGTTGCCTCGGCTGGGTCAGTTTTCATGAAAAAAGGTCTGTTTTCTGAAAATTAAGTATATTAGGCCTTAAAAGCTATAGTACGACCAAATACATTAAATTCTCAAGAAATAGGTGACTTTTTACTCTTCAGATTTTTATCTGAAACTGTGCTTGTTTGTGATTTATAAAATGCAAGTCAAACAAACAAACAAACAAACAAACAAACAAAAAGATTTACATTCAAAACTAATTTAATCCTTGTGTCTTTTAATGACACGCTGCAGTTTTATGAACTATAAACAATCAATATGTATTAATCCACAACTTCTGAACTCAAAGGAGTTCATCAGTTACAGTTGAAGTCAGAATTATTAGCCCTCCTTTGAATTTTTTTTTCTTTTTTAAATATTTCCCAAATTATGTGTAACGGAGCAAGGAAATTTTCACAGTATGTTTAATAATATTTTTTCTTGTTCTGGAGAAAGTCTTATTTGTTTTATTTTGGCTAGAATAAAAGCAGTTTTTAATTTAAAAAAAAAACATTTTATTAGCCCCTTTAAGCTATATTTTTTTCGATAGTCTACAAAACAAACCATTGTTATACAATAACTTGCCTAATTATCCTAACCTAGTTAACCAAATTAACCTAGTTAAGCCTTTAATTGTCACTTTAAGCTGTATAGAAGTGTCTTGAAAAATATCTAGTAAAATATTATGTACTGTCATCATGACAAAGATAAAATAAAACAGTTATTAAAAATGAGTTTTTAAATGTTTAGAAATGTGTTGAAAAAATCTTCTCTCCGTTAAACAGAAATTGGCGGAAAAATAAACGGGGGCTAATAATTCAGGGGGGCTAATAATTCTGACTTCAACTGTAAGTTTTAAAAACTGAAGAAAGATGCAACACTGAAAAAAACTAATATCTCAAAAATCCACTATTAAGGGCCATTCACACAGAACACTTCTTAACGTGTAAAAATATGAGGCGCATCGCTCAAGAATGTTCTAAGTGTAGCATAGAGCATGAGGGTATTCGGACACAGCCACTGAGTGTCTGTAAACAAAAATTTGCTAAACTTGCCCTGCCTCTGAATTCTTAGTTTAATGCATTGGAGCTGACTCTGAGCAGTGGTCCTGCATGTAAAAGTTAAAGTTTGTTAACTTAAAAGGCACCTATAATGAAAATCATCTTTTGTAAGCTGCTTGGACAGAACTGTGTGTAGGTTTAGTGTGTCCATAGTCATATTGAGGTGCTATAAAGACAAAAAGTTTTTTTTTTTCATTTCCTGATGTTAAAATAGAATCCAAATCCCTCCCATTTCGAGGCCCACCACAACGTGATGTAGGAATGCTGTTTTCCCGCCTACCAAATTGATCGACAGCCACGCATTAAAATATCTGCATAGTAACACGTACAGTATAATCATATCAACAAGACAAGACGAGCGCAAAGCAACCGGGATTAAAAGATCTGTTCAGCTTGCTGTGATCATCAATCATGATCAAATGAGATCAAGAATGAGTTTAACAAGTTTAAAAAGTTATTAATACAGTGCGTGTTTGTAATGAATTACAGTGATTTTATTGTCTTTACTTTATCACCACAGCCGCATATCAGTACAATTATAAAAGAAAAAGCTTCAATCCTGGTTTGTGGACGTGAAATCATTTTGTACATTTTGTACATTAACATAACGGATATCCATGCAGCAGTGGATTTTGATCTGTATCCTGTCACATTTGCCATGCAAAGACGTGCAAAGTTAAATGAGCGTGCTGTGTACATGAACTTTGTAATGACCTGCTTCCTTCATGTCTTTCACTGTGCTGAAGCAGCTAGATATTGAGGCACACTCTTATAGGCACGTGGGAACGGTGGGCAAGGAGAAGTAGCATTAAAGGCACAGGCCACAAAAACAGCTACATAGTGTTCAGCGCAGAACATTCAAATTATCTGAAAGCTATAATAAATAATCTGATGGGTGTTTTTAGCTGAAACTTTACTGACACATTCTGAAGACCTAAAAAGACTTATTTTAAATCTTGAAAAACGGGTAAAATAGGTGCCCTTTAAGTTGGCATCATAAAAATGTGATGCTGATGTGTACAACGCTTCAAAAGACGCAAGTATAACAATCATGCATGTTCATCAACACTGTGTTTCTACTGAAAAACAAAGGAAAAGTAAAGCATTGGAATGATAAAAAAAATCATTCTGTGTGAATAAGCCCTTTTTCTTTTCTTCTCGTCAATCAATACTCCAACCAGTACTTTCATGTCTGTCTTTTTAGTGTGCAAAAAGTGCTAATGCCCTCCTTTTCTTCAGTATGATAACCAACCCTTCACCTCTTCCACTCTTTCATCTCTCTGTGCCTCAGGTGATGATTTGGAAGACAAGATGGTCGTCTATATTTAGCAAAAAAGGGCCTATTTGAGCAAAAAAAAAAAAAAAAAGCACACCATCCTGTATCGACCATCCATTTTCATGCCTTTCCTCCATATATTGAGAGTACACTACCTGTTCACTATGCAAAGAATAAACTTGTTGACTGAAGACTTAATATCAGGTTGGCAGACAGAATGTCTACATGAGCGCTAATTAAGTGCTGACCTGTAGTCTTGACTATTTAATGGGTGATTAGATATGAATGTTTCTTCTCGAGTCACACAGAGGTGACATTATGTCTAATAGCAAAAGGGCATGAGGTGCATAAAAAGTTTTTTTTATGTACTTCAGCTAGCCTAAGTTGATGCTAAAGGGGTGTTTAGGTAGCATTGGAAGTCATTCATTTTAATGAGATATGGAGGAGCGAGTGGAACTCTAACATTTCAGAGAGAAAAAGCAGAATCTTCTATCCTCAACTTCATGTGCTGTACCTTCTCTCTTCATGCCCATGGCCAAACACTTCTGATAGCGGCAGTACTGGCAGCGGTTGCGCTGGCGTTTGTCTATAACACAGTCCTTATTGTCTCGACAGGTGTAGGTCAGGTCTTTACGCACTGTCCTCTTGAAGAAACCCTTACATCCCTCGCAGCTGTACACACCGTAGTGTTTACCTGAGCAAAGACAAAAAGCACAAACAGAAGCCTAAGGAGTTACATTCAGGTTTGCAATGGTAATAATTTATGGATCATAGCTTTTGAGATTTGAAGTAAAAACATTGACCAACAGAAATTTTCATGTCAGATCCTAATATCCCAAAACAACATTTATGTATTCACTAGTGGAGTAAACAGATGTAAACACTGCATCATTTACATTTTTACACTTATCTGAGGTTTTTATCCAAAGCTATACTTACAAGTGATCAAAAGCTATACTTACAAGTGATCAAAAGCTGTACTTACAAGTTAGGAAAAAAAGGTACTTCAATCATTAATGCTATGGCTAAGTCAGTTTAGAATTTTCTTTTCTCTGCATATAGAGAGGAGAGAGTGTGTCCTACATGTAGTTTGTCAATTCCACTCACCTTTGCGGAGCACACATAGAATTATGTTGGTATGGGGTGCTTATAAGAAGGTGTCTGGTGCATATGGAAAGGAGAGAGTGTGTCACCTACAGGTGGTTTATCAACCCCACTCACCTGCATGAAACACACTATAAATTGTACAGTATATCCAGAAGGGTTATTTCTAGATCTTTGTCATGTTAGATAAGATAAATGATGTTCAAAACTGGCTTAAGCTGCTCTTCCAGGTTGATTAAGCTTGTTCAGCCATTTGAGTTACAAGACTGATCAAAACTATCAAGAGATCAAGAGTGTATGTTGGAGCAAGACTGTAAATTTGTACATATAAAATAGCAGGCTAAGCAGGTTGTTACTCCTTTAAGCTGGTCTACTAGCTAACTGGAAAATAAGGTGTCAAAAGCCATTTATAACCACCCGAAAGACTATGAACAGGCTAGAAATCCAGCTAAAACCATATTTGATTTAGAACTTTTGAAAAAAAATCTACAACGGCCTAAAATTATGGACTCTGAGCTACATTGTCTATTAAAGCAAGCCTCGCTGATGTACCAGACTTATTTGACTTGTTTAACTCAATGTTCAATGTTCAAAAACAATCCAACACATCATCTCGTCTAGACTAAAAGTTTGCTAAATTCAGAAAAACAACTTTTTTTGACAAACCCAACAACCCCTGCACAGTAACACTGTCAAAACAGAGTGTTTAATTCTTCCCAATCATCTTGTACAGTTGTGTTTTGGTACCTGAGGAGCGGTCGCCACAGATGGCACAGATGTGTTTGGTGAGAGAGAGTGGGGTGCCCGAGGGCTGGGCTGGAACCTTCATCACACCGTTGAGGCCTAAGGGCGGCTTAATATCCTCTGAGCTGCTGACAGAGTTCATGGGCGAGTTCAACTGCAAAATACACACAAACAAACAAACACACTTCATTTAGACACACGTCAACATATCGGCTCCAAGGGCCTAGGTGAAAGTGAACCAGAGTTCCTGAAGGCCCTGACTTTTCTGTCAGTTGTTTCAGAATGGTGCCCGACTTGACCCTACGGGGCGGCATTGAGATTTCAGATTGATTTTGTGCCGTGAGACTGAGCTTCTCTCATCTGATTACTTTCTCTCTCTCTCTTCCTTCCTCTCAATGTAAGTACAAGAAATGGATGCTGAGTGTGTCCCTAGCCTCATTTTTTTCATATCCAGCAACAGCAGTGCACATGTTCTATGCTAGAATGGTGCCAATAAAATATTTAGTGGGACAGAGGATTAAAGACGTGCTACTCTCTTACTCGGCAAGCTAAAATGTGTCTGGCGGGCCTCATCCAGACATTTATTTGCACTCACTTTTGAATGAGAAGCACAGCGATACTCAAATTCCTGTGGAGACCAAGGCTACATTAAACAAACAAACAAAAAAAAACTAATTTCATGACAAATGCTTCTTAATCAATGTAAGCCAATGTTTTACAAGTTGATGACGTCATAGTCATGCAATCACAATAACAGGCTGTCTTGTTTCAATTACATACTTTGATACAAATTTTATCAGTCACACAAGGGTTTTGCAAAATTTAATGTTGCAGATGGGCTGAAACAATGCCTAAGGGTCAAAAAGGCCCATCCAAAACAAAAAAGCCACACACACACACGCACACACACACACACACACACACACACACACGCACGCACACACACACACACGCACACACACACACACATAAAAACAAATAGATCTTGTCTTTGGGAAGTGAGAAAGTCATTGAAAAGTCTTGTGATAAGAAGTGTGGTCGCTCTTGATGAATGTGTCACAAGCATTCGACTTCCTTTTACAATTTCTTTTATTTATATTAGAGTAAAAGTTTGACCAGTGACCAGTTTTTTTTTTTGGGAGAGCCCTTAAAAACATGACACAAACTTAGCATTGGTCTCTGGACAGTGCATGGTTTTGGCCACGAGACAGAAACACTCATGCGAGAGCCTCCAAAGTCTTGTTCCTATGCTGCATCTCATGCTGAAGCCAGAACACAGCTAGCAGTCAAACCAGCAAGAGAGGCCTGATAAAGACACCATTTAGACCTAAAAGGCTAATCGTCATCTCCCAATTCACACCATGGCTATGTGTTGATGTGAGGATGTGAGACATGCAGACTTGCTAGACGTCTGCAGAGTGCCATGTAGCCAGAGGACACTGGACACAGACAGTCCACTGTAGCTCTGCTGCCACTTAAATGTCATTTATAACAAATATATTGTGTTTAGCAGTGTATGAAGGTCATTTCCAAGATTGGATTTCACATATAATAAATATATTCTACATACACATATTTAATACACACAATTCATTGTGCCTGTGCATAACTTAATAAAAATTGTAACAATTTAACAAGAAAATGTCAAAACAGCATACACTGCTTAAAATTGTGGATGGAGAGGGGAAATAACTGTGGAGATGAGCATATTTTATGTTAAAAACATAATATTGCATATTCATTATATTTTTACAGTCGTTTTAGTTTGTTTAAAGCACATTTAAATAAATCTTTGACTAACATAAGTGTTTATTACCGTTTGGTTGTTTTTATTAACTTGTCTGGCATGTGTTTGTCATGTTCTGACAATCAAGATGAGTTTAAAATGATGATTAACTACCTGGTTTCACTGTCTGCCTTCTTGGAATTGAAATAAATAAAAAAAGAGATATTTAACATGTTAATTATCAATGTTGACATGACTAAGCATGGGACGACAATTGGCTTCAAGGTTTACCGTGGTTTGTAAAAGTCAAGGTTTTAAAACCGTAAACATTTTCTGTTATGCCGTTCCTAATGTATATGTACACTTTTGTTTTTTTGTGAATATTTAAATTTTTTTTTTTTTTTTTAGGGCAACAGTATCTCCAGCAAAAGGACCCTCCAAATCAAAAGCCCACAATTCGGCAAACATCTGAAAAACAAGTCGCTTATACACCAACATCCAGCATAGACCTGAACAGAGTAGTGGCTTAATTTATACACTAAGAAAAGAAAGAAATCCAAAGATGCCCTCTCAAATTGTAAAGAAATCTGTTTTTTTTATACTAATGGAGATTATAAGTCAATGATTTCTTTTAATTATTTAGCCTGACAAGTTTAAAATGAAGAAGGCAAATATCCTTTAAATGTTTCTTAAATAAAATTTATTGTATTCAATGGGGGAAAAAAAGACATTCATAAAGGACATATTTTAGAGCAGTAATCACAATACTGTGTTACCATGAAATCGTAATATTTTTACCCAAGGTTATCATACCTTCACAATCCTATAACGGGCCCATGCCTAGACTCTTGACATGAAAAAAAAAAAGATGTTTTCTACATGGGCAGGGGGCTGGGGTAATTCTTTAACCCTGATTTTATCAACAAATAAAAAACAATAATTTTATTAATAAGGAGTGTCTAAATTATTTATTAAAAACTAAAAGTGTCCAAATCTGATGAATCACCAAACATGTGTAAAGTTAAGCACCTTTACAAACGAACACACTAGCATCATTCCAGAATGTGGATTGTGGTACATGCATGAAGCCCAAGCATGCACACACACAGTAAAGACACTGCCATGGCCAAAAACTGCACTGAATACAAAGACTGAATGCTGAAACCAGAAGATCGACAAACCAAACAAACAAAAACACGCAAAGCTTATGAATCTCTGTCAACAACATCATTAATACTTGTGAAAATGGCTTCACTTTCATTCAGTATGATGATTAATTCCATCAGTCAAAAAACTAACAGGGAATACGCTGTGGACAAAAGCCCCTGTACTTCCGCTCGGGCTGATTTATGTACTCAGAAATGGTCATTGTCCTTGAGAAATGCTGAAGGCACTCAAGGCTGTAGGGGCTGTAACAGAACGGCCTGTTCTGATGGAGAGAGGTGTTCATGAAGAGAAATAATGGCTAAATTACTCATGCCATACTATATTCTGAGGCTGTCATTTTACGAGAAATAAAACCCCTTTTGTTATGCATTTCTGTCAGTGTGTCTCCAATGAGAACCTTAAACGTTCATGTTATCCACATTCTGTATAAATACCCATAGGGAAAATTTTCCAGGAATGAATTGAGTCTGCTGATGGAGCACATACTACCCGCATTAATGCCCAACTCACTAAGAGAATTATGCAAATGAGTTACCGTGGAAATGTGCCCATAAAATTTCAGCTAAACAATTTTTAATAGGCTGTGATCACAAGGTTGTGTACTTTACTTTGATTTGTGCAATCTCACTCAGCTTGCTAACATTAAATAAAAGAAATGTAGAGAAATAAAAGTTGAAGAAAGATAACGCAAGGTCATGGGTTTGATTTCTATAAAATGCATCAACTGATGAAATCTGCTTTTGAAATAAAGAATTAAAAAGCAATCAATAAGTGTCTGATAAATTAATACTTGCGAAATGTCTCTATTAAACAGCATAAATATAAAGAAAATGGAGTTTGTTGTCTATAGAGATTAATCTAAAACTGAGTAAAAAAGGGGCAAAAAAAGCATAAAAATTAGGGATGTCCAAACCTCTCAGGAAGTTCTTGACTTCACACAGAAACGGCAACACATGCATCACTTTGTTGCAGAGACATTATTGGTGAAATGCCGGCAAAGTAAAACACAGAAGCAGCTTGAAGCAAAAAGCATGAGTGTGTGGTAAAGTCTAGATAGCATACAGCTGCTGATACACACATCAATACAGCATAATTTTTGTGACACTGTACAGCAATAATGAATATTTTTACAGTACTGTGATGGTTGGGTTTAGGGTTGGGGTAGACGATTAAAAATAAAATTTGTTGGGTAATTTAATAAATAACATAAAGAATACTAGTTACAACTACTGTTTTACATTACTGTGACGGTTGGGTTTTGGGTTGGGGTGGGGGTAGACGTTAATAAAATACAATAAATGGAAAATGTAATAAAAAATAAATTATTCTTGTTAAATTCCGGCCAGAACCGTATCTGTTTCTTCGCTCTTCTACTTGTATATTCTTTTTTTAATGTAAATATCAGGGACATTTCTAATAAAAAAAATTAAAATAAATAAATAAATATATATATATATATATATATATATATATATATATATATATATATATATATATATATATATATATATATCCTCCCAAACTGAAGATAAATGGACAAAGATCATTAAATGAAATACAAATGTGTATAGTACTGTGCTATTATTGTACATAAAGATCTTCCATCATCTTTAGAAATACATAATTTTAAGCAGTGTAATTGTGCACTAAGCAAAAAAAAAAAACACCTTTTACCATAAAGAGACTCCTGAAACAGACTTGTTGCCAATCAGCAGTTAAGCATTGAGTCTTTGAGTACAATAGTGGACATAATCATAATGAGGCCAAAATCATATTGGAAAATGGTGTGCTTGTTTTGGTGATTTCAGATAACAACATAATTTGGCAAGTGCACCTTTAAAACATATTCCATTTAGTAACAACAAAGAGGAACTTTAATTAAACAATATATTTTTTATAAATTTAAAGGGGTTTATTTATGTGAATAAAGCCAGGCTCTAATAAATAAACTTTATTAATAAAATTTTCTTTAGAATTACACTTGATATAATCAGTCTGTACAAATACTTTCATTGACATTCGCCCTTTCTGTATGTCATCTGAAGGGGACCGTACTGTTGTGACAATATTTGAGTTGAATCTGCCACTATGCATAGGCATTTGTAGCTTCACCCTCTATTGAAAAAAGAACTGGGAGCACAATCTCATTTGAATTTAAAGCAAAAATAACCAAAATGGCACAATTTGGATCAAAGCATAAAAAGGGCAGTTTCAAAGAGTCATAAAAAATGCTTGTGGAATATTTTGAGCTGAAACTTTAC